GATGGGCTACGACCGCACTACTCGGATCAGACCAACGACTTTATTGACAATGCCCACATCCCGTCGCCGGATATCGTGGAGGACGAGGCACTTATGGATGAACTCTTGGAAACCCATCTTCCCGAACCACATCACCACGTTGCCGCTCCGTCACCTGAAGTCCTACCTGCACCCTCGAAGCTTTCTACCAGAACACCATCACCGCCGACCCGCAAACAGAAAGCCAAAGCAGTTCCCAAAGCGCCTGCAAAACGTCGTCGCCGACTTGACCAATCCCGATCCCGCTCCTCGAGCCCACTGTCACTCTGGACTTCTGAAGACAAACAGAAACTTCGCACTTTGAAGGCGGACGAGAAGTCTCGATTTTCATGGCGGGTGATCTCGACCAAGATGGGCAAGTCCGAGGAAGATGTTCGCTCTATGTGGAATAAGATTAAAGACAAACTTGGCTGACCAACAACATGAGCGAACCAAGGAAAAAGCTGGCCTGCGGCACCGCATTACAGTTTCACCACCCAACTTGCGGTTTTCCTTTCTTCTTCTTTAGGGTCTTTTCGTCCTTACACTTTTTGACCTTCACAAACTCGGGCATTGTTGCTCCACTGAAACTTTGAATTTTCACATCATACAACCCGCCAGCCATTTACTATGTCTCTCCGCATTCACCTGGATCGATATTGCCAACTGCGAGCTATGTCTCACGAAAGGATCTCTCCTACACGACGATCACGCTCTCCAACAAGGGCACCGTCCTCCGCTATGGGGTCTTCATCATTTCAGCACCCATCCAACCGGACTCCGCCTTCGACACCCCATCGACCGGTTATTTTCCAATTGGACCTGAAGCCGATGCAGCAACTCGCCGTCCGCAACCCATACTACAACATCCTGGCCCCCAAGGTCGCGGGCAACCTCTCCACTGCCGTCTATGACAGCCTGTTCCAGACGTTCAAGGTGATCTATCCGGATTATGCTCGCAGCCATTTCGTTTCCGACCTCAAAACCGTGGTTACCGACACGCTGTTACAACGATGGTCGATACACCTACCCGCGACAGATTTCTACATGATGATTGACACCGATCAAGGAGCTCAGATGCTTGACGACCTCCCTCATTCTCTCCTGGACGTTTTGAGCTGGTTCTACCCGACATGGAAAACTCATCAACATCTCGATGCCTTCACGACCCGTGAGTGTTCACCTTTGTTGCTGACACCCCATCCAGATCCACAAGACACAGGCTTCGCTGTCCATGTTCAAGTGATTCCCCGCGGGCATCCATTCGTCACGGCCACCCGATACACCAAAACGGCCGAGTGATTAGCCTTTGAGATAGATCCTGGATGCGCTCACGTCTATGAGGAAAGAGAAAAAAGCACTCGTTATGATGTCCTCCGCCCCGGTTTTGGGTTTCCTTTTGTCTTCCATGCTTCTCTTCTCTCCTTATTGTGATTCTCGTTGTTCGATATTTCATTATTGACCTTTTTCCCCACGGCTTTTCGGCTTCAGTTCAGTGTTTCTCGATATCATATTATTGCTACTGTACATGATGACCTCCAACACGGATGATGCCGCTCGATTGGTCTCAAACCGTTCCTCACCTACATCCGTACATGGCCCAGTCCCACACCTCCCACCTGATGATCCTACTTCGGCATCGTATATTCCCAGGGCAGCGCGGATGATCCCAACCTCTACAACCGTCCATTCCGTATTCATCAAGAAGCTGAGCTATCCTTTGTCTTCTCGTCCGGATGAACTTTGGATCGTGGAAAGGACACTCGATGGTATTGAAACGTGGAAGCCAGTGGAAACATTTTTGGAGAACATGCACCTCACCAACGATCGTGCTACCCTACGTACTACGGCTAACCATTGGCGCCGATACTATGATGTACCAATCCAATCATCCTCCTCTCCTACGGCAACTGCTGTTCCTGTTCTCCCACACCCTGAACATGCCAACGTCTACGTCTCTCAACCGTACGAAGCAATACCAGACTAACTCCATATTTTACAGTCATGCTGGGGACGTTCTGCCCAACACCATTCTCAAGGTACCACCACTTCGTTATCTTGGCCACCATGGCGATCTACACCACCTTCTTCACCATCGGCAACATTGCACCGGACCTTACATCGCAATCGCCCTACCGTCCCTCCTCAACATGTACATTGTCCACTGGATGCGGACGACCCTGGCCCGATGGACATGTCTGACTCCAGTGTGTAACACACCGCATTATTTGGCGGCATCGAAAAAGAACAGTGACTACACGTCGATTTGTGACTACTCACTAGGTACACCGTTTCCCTCCAATTTTCATTTTTGGGCTTTATTCTTTGGTCATTATCATTCTATGTTGCAGCTTGGGCTTTCCGCTTTACGCTTGACACTCGACGCCATGGCTCATTCTTCTCGCCCCCATCCATATCGTGCTACATCCACGGTTGATACACCACTAGGTACCCGAAATGTTGGATGGCTTGCCGGACCCCGAGGCCTTCCTGGTCACGTGAACCCTCCTCCAAACCGACCTGTTCTTATCTTGATTGACTACTCTCCCTTACAGGAACTGACTCATCGCAGCGAACCTGACCGTGAACACTACATGGCTTTGGCCAGTTCAAATTTCAAAAATGTTAGTGGCTACGAACTTGAAGCTCTGTTTACCTGGTCACGTCAGATGGAACCAGTTGAAGCCGGCCTCCTTCCCACTGGAGAACTACGTTTCTGTATCTCAAAAAGATTGAGGACCCAATGGGACATCCAACTTGACCCTTCGAATTTGGAGTTTCGCTATTGCGACCTGGAAGGTGATACATTCCAAGTCCCCAATGATATGACGATCATGCAGCTTTTGGAGGAATACCGGCCCGAATGGCGACTCCGACAGTACAACTACATCGAATCCTCTTTGCTCATCCCAGGTACCTCACAGCCTTTCGTGCTACGTCTGCGATGCCACAAAGTTAGCCCCGGCGTGATCTTGCCCTGATGCGCTCACTGGCCAAAAAGAGCATGCTCGACTGTTCTTTTCGTTGCACCTATGACACTTTATTAACACGAAGGATTCTTTGGATTTCAACTTTTTAGGCTTTGGGCTTTGTCCTTTCCGTGGACCTTGAACAATTAGATTGATGACTGGACTTCACTATTATCATTATTATCATTACTATTCTCTGGCTTGGCGTATGTTTGCAATTTCATGATGCCTCAGCCTTTGTCGCACTATTTCACGCATTTCTGATCGTTTCACCCATTGGAGCATAAACGAGACGCTACCGTGGCGGGCTTGGCTTGGCCTTCGAATCCCAACCGTGGACTCGCTGCCACCAATCCAGACCAAGCACCAGACGCCCAGGCTTCTGCACTATGTCATTCTAGCATCCCTGACCCTACTACCGGGACCACTTCGGCACCTTCGGCAGCTGACAGTACAACTACCGACATCGGAACTACGCCCCATGCTGATACATATTCAGGCTTTGCACCTCCTGATGTTCCTTTTCCGACTGAGCCAAGTCCTGCATACCACTACCTCCATCGTGCTCACTTCTCATCCCGTGTGGTCCACCAGATCCAATTCAAGATCATTACCCACTCCAACAATACCAGGGAGTTATTCATCGAAGAGATCCCCATGTCAGGGCTCTCCAAATGTCGTGACCCCGAGCACTACTTTTATGGTCTTTCGGGCAACTGGGAGTGGTCCCTGCGCACAGCGGATTATTGGCGACACCACTTTGAGATTCCTCTAGTACATGGGCATCATCCTTTTCACAATGTCCCCATTGAGACCATTACACCTACGGAGGCAACCCGCTTCACTCCGAAGATCCAAGACCTGGCCAAACAACTTTCAACCACTTTGACGGCTGCTATGGCGTCTGGGGAAATCAACGACACGTGGAGGATGGTTGAAGACATGAGCTTCCGTGACGCGATCCAAACACTTCAAGCTGAGACGAATCTCCCTTCTGAGTGACTGAACGCGGCTCTGTACATTAGCACCGGAAAGCCTTTTGTATTTAAATGATCTTGCCGACATTTGCAGCGATGTTCTTCCAAAAAATCAAACCCCGCTACACGCGGGGTGTGTGTGTGTGTGTAACATCTGAACAGATGTAAAACTTCTATTGCTCTAACCTTTTTACATTTGCAGGGGGTGGATGCATGGTCTGGCGTCATCCACCAACGAAGACACTGCCTTTCCATGGTGATATCGATCTGGGACGCCAGATTGACGTACCTGCCAATTTGCTGATCGGTTTCAACTGTTGATCAAGCTGTTACACTGCGTTGTTTCGAATCTACACGGTTGCCACAATCTGTATTGCCTGCATCAGAACCTTCCTCAGTTTTTCGCCGAAACCATGTCGCCGACAGTATTTTGATTTTTTGAATTATTTCGCCGAAACCATGTCGCCGATGTATTTGGATTATTTTATCAAAACCACGTCGCCGATTCATTTATTTATTTTGATGACGATCTTGGCCATGGAAATCATTCAGGAGAACTTCTATTATTCGTAGGGTGCATCGTTATTTTCGTTGTTTCATATCTAATCTGCATGTTTCAGGATTCAGTTCCTGCCGGATCATATAATGATCC